CATCATCATCATCATCATCATCATCATCATCCCTCACCTACCTGTACAATCCTGCATTTGAGCTCAGCCTTCTCCAGCTCCCAGGCACATCTGTCTCTGGTGTACTGCAGCTGGAGATCGCTCCTCTTCTCCTCCTCTCTCTTCACCTCCGTCTGCACTTCCTCCAAAACTGTCTTCAGGTCCAGCAGAATCCTCCTGTTCTCCCCTCCCTGCATGGAAACACAGTAGGCAGCGGTCTTGTCAACCTGGTATCACCAGAAGTTACAGCATTACCCTTCCAGAAACTATTGCTGAGGAACAAGGAATCACCAGGCCAACATTAAACTGTTCAAATTAAGTATATTATGGATTTGTTATCATATACCCCAAAGCACAATATAATAAGCCACTGGCTCTCTTAAAGTACTTACATACCAACAGAAGATGAACAGGAAAAAGGAGTACATGCTTTGAGTACCAAAGAAATTTAAAGTCCCACACATATATATATATAGACTCAGTTTTCACGTGGTAGTAAATAGTTCGAATTACTTGTATGTCAGCCACTTCTCTCAACAATGACTCCTTCTCACGCATCCACTCCTCCTTGTCCTGCACATGTCTCTTTTTCAAATCGTCAAACTTCTTTTTAAGCCGTGTGTGTTGAGTTTGCTGCGGCTGTTGCTGCGGGACTGTTGGTTCAGGACCGGGCCACATTTGTCCCCTAAGGATCTCCAGCTGCGTGCCCGGTTCACCCAGTCCTCTTCCTCCTCCTCCTCCACCCGGTGAAGCTCCGAACTGCGGCTCGTAGAACTGACTGAAGACGGTGGGCGGAGAGGAGATCCTCCTCAGCGGACTCCGGGCTTTGCTCCTGCCTCGGTCGACCCTGTCCATCCTGGTGCACGGCACAAACTCCCATCCCTGAGAGGGGACATATCCCCCGCTGCCACCGCCGCCGCCAGCACCGCCCCCACCGTGCAGCCCCGAGCCGTTCATAAACGCACTCCACATCTCCAGAGCGCATCAAAATAAATCATTAAAACAACTTTATTGCACAAACGATTACAAGCCAGTCTATTTTGTGAGTATCCATTTCTGCATTAGTTCATACGAGATTCAAACTGATATTAAGTTTGTGACCGGTGGCACAGGATCATCAGAGCGCGCATTATCCAAACCCGGCTGTGTCCCCTGTCGGCCGCACAGCAGCGCTCAGGACCCCTGTCCCCGCAGGGCTCACACAGGCAGCGGGGCTGGGCGCTTTAGTCCCCTCCATATCCTCACGGGGGTCGAGCCGTCACTTTTTGTGCCCCAGTCCCTCCACGGACGGTGTCCTCCTCCTCCTCACTTCTGCTGCTACTGTTCCTCTTACATGTTCACGCCGAGACCTCCGGACGCGCTGTGCCTCCTCTCCCTCCCCTGCGCTGCGGAGAAGTCGTCGTCGTGAGCAGGCGACAATCCCGAGCTGCTAGAGGAGTAGATATGCGGGCTAACCGCTCCGACACGAAGGGGGAAAGATCCCAAAAATATCACAGAGCGCACTGATGTAAGAGCAGCGGAGTATTTTTACACCCCTGTCACCATGAGTTTATTTCCCTCCGGACTGCGTCTGGAGGAGCAACAACATCCGTCAATCAACACCGGAGTCCTCTAATTACGACGAAGGATCTTGCGCTGTATCCATGGCAACAAATTAATTCGTCCACAGCACTGTGGTAATTAAAACATCTGTGCACTGATTTTGGCAATACACCACTTTACGACCTTATACAAGATACAATACATAGCTTACCCATTACCAGCGGAGCAACATCACTCAACTCCCATTGCTATACCACTTTGAACTGTAACCATAGCAACACAATTCGCTCAGAGCACGTGGTATGATCAAGCCATACTCTGTGCCACCCCTCACTCATTTTAGCAGCAATAAATCATAAAGGTGTCTTACCTCAGTCACAGGGAGAGACAGGTTTGCGAACGGAGACAACATCCATTAATCAACACCTGGCAGGATATACTACCTTGCGCTGTAGCTATGGCAACAAATCATTTTAGTTACACCACTGCAGTAAAGTGCGCAAACAGTCGCTCATTTCAGAGGCAATAATCACAACTTTTTTATGACAAATAAATGTCAGTCACTGCTGACACTTTACAGCGGAGCAACACCATCATTCAACCAACACCAGTTCGCTGTAATTACGAGGCAGAATACCAACTTGCGCTGTAGCCATGGCAACAAATCAATTCAGTCACAATAGCACTTTATGTGCAAACCTCGATCTATTGTATTCTTGTTGTCTACTTATCCTTTTCGGCTCTTTTAAAAAAGTGCCATACAAGCAGAGTTATCATTATTATAATTACTACACGACCAGTAAATGTCAACCCATGTTACCTTACCTTTAAGAAGACATGGTCCTGGTTAGCGTAGCTTCCTTGTTTCTTATCCTCAGCCTGAGTGCCCCCTGCCTCCAGGCATTTATCGTTATTAACGGGAGAGGATGGTGACTATCACGAGTGAGGCGAGGCGAGTGAGGTGGGTGGGAACGGAATCATCTGGATTTTAAGATCACACAGTCGGCTCCACAGAAGCCTTCCTAACCTCAGGCCTGCACATAACCGAGCTATAAAAAAAACACGCCACAAAGAAACTAGGTGAAAGTTACGCACGACTTTCTGCACCTAACTTGTGATATTCACGTCTGTTGTGTGCGTCGACAACGAGGAAGCAGCACGTGCCATGAGGCAGAATAACTTTACCTCTTCTTGTGTTATGATCCTGGAAGTGGTGATGAACGTCCTCCTTCTAAAAACAGCCCCACACTCCAACCGGAGAAGTAAAGTTTAAGATTAGGTTTAAGTCTTTGTCAGACACAACAGGAGAGCGACAGCCTGCAGCCGAAACGATGCTTCCATTAACTTTCCCTCTCTCTCCTTCTCTCTCACTCCTTCTCTCTCTCTCCACAGCTGGACCTAATATGTGACGTCAGCCCGGTGGGATGAGAGAAGTGGACCGGTTCCTCCTCCGTCCTGGTGGTCAGGTTCCGTCGGTTAAACTGACCCACCACCACCATCAGTATTTTCACTGAGCCACCCAACGTCAAATAACCCGAATCCAAATATGGTTAAAATATTCCCCTTGGGCATCTGATGACTCACACTGAGAAGGATCTGCAAGAGGCATATGTTTGTTTCACTATCAGACAGTGTGCAAGTGAATGAATGCCTGAGTGTGTACTTGAATGTGTGTTTAGTCTGTGTGTGCATTTACAATGAACTGCTCATAAACTCATTTACTGCTGTTGTCACGTGAAAACCTCATAAATACAAAGTGATGGTTGTGTAGGTAAAGATCTTTTAGCTTCACTGGATAAAGGGAAACAAAATATGGTGCACAAGCTACAAGCGAGACATTTTTACCTGTTAGCAGTATTATAGATTCTTATAGCATTTACAGTGGTAACAGAAGAGTCTATATCCACAACAATTCCAATCTGATTCAAGGCCCTATCCATCTTCATGAGGGGTGATTACAGTGTCACTAGTCACCATTTGCTGTAGTGAAAATAGTGCAAACTAACAGGAAAGTGTGACAGATGTCATATACTCCATACTGCCGCCATGGTGGTGGGCCTTTTTTATAAAGTATACATTTACTGCAAGTACATTTTTCATGTATCTGTACTTTACTTAAGCAGATCTTAGAAGGCACTTTTACGCCAGTACATCCATTGATCCCTGCAACAGAACTCACTATAGAAAACCCTGAAATGGATTTTGGAAGAGGCCGAAACTCCACCATCAATTATTATGATAATGCAAGTGTTTTTCAGTAGCATCACTAGCAGCATTCTTTATTAATGTGATACAAAATGTATATAATTATTCTCGTATTAAACAGAATATGCAGGCACAGTTAATGATATAGTAGAACATTGCATGATTGAAGAGGCAACTCTAGGCAAGTGCGTTTACTTTTAATACTCTGAGTATATTTAAAAGCAAGTATTATATCTGTCTGTTCATTTGTACTTTTCCAAAGTAAAATGTTTGAGTACTTTCTCCACCACTGATAGACAGAGTCATGAAGAGTGTCTAATAAGGTACAGTAAGTGAAAACACCAATGTGTTTATGTGTAGGGCCTTTGTCACTGTGACATTGTTAGCAAACAGCTCATTGATCAGTTCACTGACAGACTCACCTAACACTCCACTGTCGCTTCGTTCACCCTCCGATTAATGTCGAAAGCATCTGAGTACATGAGTGGCGTGGGTCGTACGTGGGAAATGGTGACGTCCTGTACCTTGAGTGACCTTGTGACATGTGAAGTGTTCAACATAACAGCACTGAAATGAATGAAAAACTTAAAAGGAAATAAAAAGCAATAATGGAAATTAAAAAAATATATTGAGAGTGTGCTTTAGAGAACAAAGAAGAGGGTGAAAAGGAATACCAATTTAAAAATGGTGGCATAAGAGAGTGAGGAAAACAGAACAAGAATGAGGATCAGCAAAATAATGGGCTGGAACATCTTGGTGGATGACAAAATGAAGGGGGGAGGGGAAGAGGCAGATTGCTGGTTAGACAAGTGCATATTGAACAACAGAAACATGACAGCCATTCATGTTTATGCGTTATCTTACAGACAGTGGCTCCTCTGCCTGTTTATCTTCCTGCTTTGGGACGTCCAGCCGGTCTATAAAGCCCTGCAGCTCCTTCCTGAAGGCTTTCATCTGAGCGTTAATACGATACAGCAGCTCATGCTCTCTGATCCTGTGGAGCCGACGTAAAGAGCATTTCAACTGATTTAATGATTGATGGATTATGAAAAAATAACTGCAACATTTGGTTAAAACAGTAACAGTCCAGAGCACAACAAATGATCAGCTGTAGTCACCAAAAAGGGTGAGTTGTTTTTACCTCCACCAAACAAAAACACAAAAACTACCAGATGGATTTCCACGAAACTTGGTGGAAGGATGCTGTATTAGAAAGGGGGAGAACAAATTAAATTGTGATGTAAATCTGAATCAGGGGGGCAGAACCAGGAATTATTTTCACTTTCTTTAACATTGCAATATAGAGTATTTTGCATTGATTTCCCACGGAACGATTCATAGATCTTGATAAAAAACTTTACATTAAGGGGACTGATACGAATGTTATGTGCTCCACTGAGGGTCTTTCTAGTTTGTTGGTTTGTATGTTTGCTTGATTGTTTGTGAACAAAATAACACAAAAACAACAAAATTCAAAACCTGATGGAAGGATGTGGTATGGGTCAGGAAAGAACCCATTACATTTTTGTGCAGATCTGGATTTGAGGGTGGATCCAGGACTCTTTTTTTTCTTTAACATTGCAAGCTAGGGCGTTTTTCACAGATCGTTCTGTGTTCCCATGGATCCTGATGCAGAAAATCTAACCTACTTAGGGGACTGATATCTATAAGTTTGTGTAATTTGATACAGCTTGTTTGGATTTAAGTAGATGGAGGTACTGTGCTCTATTAAGTGGGATTCTAGTTAATGTCATTATTACCTGCCACCTTCTTCATCCTCGTCCAGTCTGGCAAACAGTTCTCCATTTGTGACGTATACTCTGGCCTCAGTGATGATAGTGCTGGTGTCAGTGATTAGCCTGTCGATGGTCCGGCCCAGCCTCTCCGCCTCTATGCGGATGTCTATCATCTGCTGCCGGTCCTTCAGGCTTCTGGATAAAAAACGACTCTCCACAGGTGAGTACAGGGAGCGTGTCGGGGTGAGGCAGCGGATGTTCCTCACCTCATCTGAGTCACTCTCCCCTCCAATGGGGCCCTCGCGCTTGCGGTGGGGTGGTAGGAGGCGAGGCGAGGAGGCTGAGGCCGAAGGGGTGTCGTCATCCCGTCCACCATCGCTCTCTGCGTCGCTGTCCCGTGGGCTGCTGCGGATCCCCAGGTGGGAGGCCAGGTCGTAGCGCTGCATGTTGGAGAGCAGCACGCGGTTCTCGTACTGGAGCTGCATGACTTTGCCGCTCAGTTCATTGATCTGCAGACGCGCTGCTTTCAGCTCCTCCTGCAGGGCCTCCACTTTAGCAGGGTCAGCTCCTCCTGGGGTTGAAACAAGGTGACAATGAGAAGTGGAACGAGTCTGTAAATGAGAACTTTATTGTGCAGCCTCTGGGGGCTTCATGAAGCACATTTTTCATCTATTATATTGAGCTGAAAGGAGAGGAGAAGAAAACATTCCTCATTCTGAAGTGCAGGTGATTCATCTCCTGCAACAATGACAGTGACAGAACTAATGAAAAACAAACCTCCTCCATGTCTCGATCCAGCTTCATGGGATCCGGCCTTGTATTTCAGTTTATTGAGTTCACCTGTCACCTAAAGATGAAACTGAATGTTATTCTCATTCCTGCTAACTGCTGTGAGACTGAATAGTTCATACACTTGAATATTTTGTTATGTAACAGATAGCATTTATAAAGGGCCTCTAAGTCATTGATGATATCATTAATAGCAACTGATACACAAAAAAGAGGAAATCAAAGCAGCATTGTGTTGCCTGGTAATATCAGATAGTATTTACCATATGCAGTATTTTTTGCCATATATTGTTTACAGTCTTTCTCAAACAGAACAAAATAGATAGTCCCAGAAACTAAAGCAGACTATTCCTAAACAAACATATTGTATTTGTGTATTGCATCTGTTTTTGTCTTTGTGATACCAATGCAGTGTACCAGTTGAGGAAATTGTTTTTTTGGGGTATAATCTAAACTATCTACCTTTTTGTTCTCTTCTTCCACATCTGCTAAATTCCTGCGGAGAAGTTCGGC